TTCCCACACCTCACCGCCACGCTCCCACGGCCCCTTCATTCTTTTGTTCAGAAGAAGAGCCACTCCCTGTTGTTTGGCAGTCTCCTGCCCTGAGTAGAGGACTGTCCACCCCAAATGGTGGCAGACGCCAGAGCCGGTCCACCAGACCTCCTGAATACCGCAGAGATCCAGGTGGTGCTGGTTCAGCTTCCAACAGGGGAGTAGCAGCCTCTCCTCTGCAGTGAGCGTTCGAACATTCCACGTGGCCACCTGTAGTGGTATTTTGTTGTTTCTGGAGGAGCCCCGAGGGTAAGGATTCAGTCTCCTGGCTCCTTCAAATGGGGTTTGGTCAGGAGACGTCATAGACGCCTGTCCCCCCGGGGTCTCCGGCACAAGCTTATTAATTACATTTTTCAGTCGTGGTTTTGTGGTAATTAATTGACGGTGGAGGGGTTACTAGCCCCTCACACCCATCCAGAGTCCCAATTTGGCCGCTGTGGTGGTTGCAAACGCCATGAGGGGAATGACCAATAACTCATTGGTTTTTTCGGCAAAGTCACGTATGTAGAAATACAATAAAATTATATTAAAACAAAACAATCACGACGTTACGATCACAACACAAGCGATCTTCATCAGGTGTCAAGAACAAATCATGGAAAGAACAAATCATGGAGGTAAATACAACAAAAAGATTAGAGACGAGAATTTAACAAACCTAAAAAACATTATGTGAAGCACAACCAATCAGGCTAACAACACAGTTAGAAACTTCCTGGCGGACCACGAATTTCAGAAGAGTGTTAAATTTCGTGCTCAACTTCTGGATTGCAAAAACCAGCATAGACAGAGTGAAAATACGAGGTACATGGTCAGTAGGAAAGACGGACAGAGAGGCAAGGAGAGAGAGAGAGGGATGAACAGCACCAACGAGAAGGTAGGGGGTTGTTTTTGCCACACACACCTCACTCCACGTACACCACACACCACACGTACACCAAACATGCCCTTATGCACCTTCATAAGAGACCAAATAGCTGCCCCCCTCCTCCCTCACCCCTCGTGGAGAATTCCGCTGAACACGATTCACGTTACTTCGGACAAACATCGGTTGAATCTCTGCGGGCTCTCTGCGGGAGCTCTGTGGGATCTCCGCGGGATCTGTGCGGGATCTGTGTGGGATCTCTGTGGGATCTCTGTGGGATCTAGGTGGCATCTGTCCGGAGTCTCTGAGGGATCTGTGTGGGGACTCTGTGGGATCTGTGTGGGATCTCTGCGGGATCTGTGTGGGATCTCTGCGGGAACTCTGTGGGATCTCTGTGGGATCTCTGTGGAATCTGTGCAGGATCTCTGCGGGATCTATGTGGGATATGTGTGGCATCTGTCCGGGGGCTCTACGGGATCTGTGTGAGGTATGTATGGGATCTGTGTGAGATCTATGTGGGATCTCCGTGGGATCTGTGCAAGCTCTCTGTGGGATCTCTGCGGGATCTATGTGGGATTTATGTGACTTCTGTCCGGGGGCTCTACGGGATCTGTGTGGGGTATGTGTGGGATCTGTGTGGGATCTGTGCGGGATCTCCGTGGGATCTGTGCAGGCTTTCTGCGGGAACTCTGTGGGATCTCTGTGGGATCTGTGCGGATCTCTGTTGGAACTCTGTGGGACCTGTGCAGACTCTCGGTTTGATCTGTGTGGGATCTGTTCGCGGTCTCTGTGGGTTCTATGTGGGATCTCTGCGGGATCTGTGTGGGTTCTGTGTGGCATCTGTGCGGGGTCTCTTTGGGATCTGCGTGGGTTCTCGGCAGGATCTCGGTGAGATTTGTACGGGGTCTGTGCGGGATCTCTGTGGGATCTTTGTAGAATCTGTCCGGGGGCTCTACGGGATCTGTGCGGGGTATGTGTGGGATCTGTGTGGGATGTATGTGGGATCTGTGTGGGATCTCTGCGGAATCTGTGTTGGTTCTGTGTGGCATCCGTCCGGTGTCTCTGCGGGATCTGTGTGGGGTATTGTGGGGATGTGCGTGGGATCTATGTGGGTTCTGTGCGGGATCTCTGTCGGATCTGTGCGGGATCTCTGTCGGATTTTTGTGGGATCTATGCAGACTCTCGGTGAGATCTGTGCGGGATCTCTGTGGGATCTGTGTGGAATCTGTGTGGGTTCTGGTTGACATCTATCCGGTGTCTCTGCGGGATCTGTGTGGGTTCTGTGTGACATCTGTCCGGGGTCTCTTTGGGATCTGCGTGGGTTCTCGGCAGGATCTCGGTGAGATATGTGCGGGGTCTGTGCGAGATCTCTGCAGGATCTCTGTGAGATATTTGTGGAATCTGTCCGGGGGCTCTGCGGGATCTGTGTGGGGTATGTGTGGGATATGTGTGGGATCTGTGCGGGATCTGTGTGGGATCTCTGCGGGATCTGTGTGGGTTCTGTGTGGCATCTGTCCGGTGTCTCTGCGGGATCAGTGTGGGGTATGTGTGGGATATGTGTGGGATCTCTGTGGGATCTGTGTGGGATCTCTGTCGGATCTCTGTGAGATCTGTGCAGACTCTCGGTGAGATCTGTGCGGGATCTCTGTGGGATCGGTGTGGAATCTGTGTTGGATATCTGCGGGATCTGTGTGGGTTCTGTGTGGCATCTGTCCGGTGTCTCTGCGGGATCTGTGTAGGGTATGTGTGGAGATCTGTGTGGGATTTATGTGGGTTCTGTGTGGGATCTCTGTGGGATCTGTGTGGGTTCTGTGTGGCATCTGTCCGGCGTCTCTTTGGGATCTGCGTGGGTTCTCGGCAGGATCTCTGTGAGATCTGTGTGGGGTCTGTGCGGGATCTCTGCAGGATCTCTGTGGGATCTTTGTGGAATCTGTCCGGGGGCTCTACGGAATCTGCGTGGGGTATGTGTGGGATCTGTGTGGGATCTCTGCGGGATCTGTGTGGGTTCTGTGTGGCATCAGTCCGGTGTCTCTGCGGGATCAGTGTGGGGTCTCTGTGGGATCTCCGTGGGATCTGTGCAGGCTCTCTGTGCGATCTCTGTGGGTTTCTGTGGGATATGTGTAGGATCCCTGCGGGAACTCTGTGGGATCTCTGTGGGATCTGTGCGGGATCTCTGTCGGATCTGTGCGGGATCTCTGTCGGATCTCTGTGGGATCTGTGCAGACTCTCGGTGACATCTGTGTGGGATCTGTGTCGGTTCTGTGTGGGATCTGTGTGGGATCTATGTGGGTTATCTGCGGGATGTGTGCGAGATCTGTGGGATCTTTGCAGGCTCTCCGTGGCATCTGTGCAGGCTCTCTGTGGGATCTCTGTGGGATCTCTGTGGGATCAGTCTGGGGTATCTGCGGGATGTGTGTGGGTTCTCTGCAGGATCTCTGTGAGATATGTGCGGGATCTGTGCGGGATCTGTACGGAATCTCTGTGGGATCTGTGTGGCATCTGTCCGGGGTCTCTGCGGGATGTGTGTGGGTTCTCTGCTGGATCTGTGAGACCTGTGTGGGATCTCTGTGAGATCTGTGTGGAATCTGTGCGGGATCTCTGTCGGATCTGTGCGGGATCTCTGTCGGATCTCTGTGGGATCTGTGCAGACTCTCGGTGAGATCTGTGTGGGATCTATGTCGGTTCTGTATGGGATCTGTGTGGGATCTATGTGGGTTCTGTATGGGTTATCTGCGGGATCTGTGTGGGATCTGTGTGGGATCTTTGCGGGCTCTCCGTGGCATCTGTGTAGGCTCTCTGTGGGATCTCTGTGGGATCAGTCCAGAGTCTCTGCGAGATCTGTGTAGGATCTACATGGGATCTCTTTGGGATCTGCGTGACATCTGTCCGGGGTCTCTGCGGGATCTGTGTGGGATCTGTGTGGGTTCTGTATGCCATGTCCGGGGTCTCTGCGGGATCTGCGTGGGTTCTCTGCAGGATCTCTGTGTTATCTGTGCGGGATCTGTGCGGGATCTGTGCGGAATCTCTGTGGGATCTGTGTGGCATCTGTCCGGGTTCTCTGCAGGATGTGTGTGGGTTCTCTGCAGGATCTGTGAGATCTGTGTGGGATCTCTGTGGGATCTGTGTGGAATCTGTGCGGGATCTCTGTCGGATCTGTGCGGGATCTCTGTCGGATCTCTGTGAGATATGTGCATACTCTCGGTGAGATCTGTGTGGGATCTATGTCGGTTCTGTGTGGGTTATCTGCGGGATCTGTGTGGGATCTGTGTGGGATCTTTGCAGGCTCTCCGTGGCATCTGTGTAGGCTCTCTGTGGGAACTCTGTGGGAACTCTGTGGGATCTCTGTGGGACCAGTCCGGAGTCTCTGCGGGATCTGTGTAGGATCTACGTGGGATCTCTGTGGGATCTGCGTGGCATCTGTCCGGGGTCTCTGCGGGATCTGTGTGGGTTCTCTGCAGGATCTCTGTGAGATCTGTGTGGCATCTGTCCGGGTGCTCTACGGGATCTGTGTGGGATATGTGTGGGATCTGTGTGGGATCTATGTAGGATCTCTGTGGGATCTCTGTGGGATCTGTGTGGGTTCTGTGTGGCATCTGTCCGGGTGCTCTACGGGATTTGTGTGGGATATGTGTGGGATCTGTGTGGGATCTACGTAGGATCTCTGTGGGATCTCTGTGGGATCTGTGTGGGTTCTGTGTGGCATCTGTCCGGGTGCTCTACGGGATTTGTGTGGGATATGTGTGGGATCTGTGTGGGATCTACGTAGGATCTCTGTGGGATCTCTGTGGGATCTGTGTGGGTTCTGTGTGGCATCTGTCCGGTGTCTCTGCGGGATCTGTGTGGGGTATGTGTGGGATCTGTATGGGATCTCTGTGGGATATCTGCGGGAACTCTGTGGGATCTCTGTGGGATCTGTGCAGGCTCTCTGAAATGTGTGTGGGATCAGTGCAGGGTCTGTGCGGGCTCTCTGCTCGGCACCTCCACTGCTGATGCGACTCCTCGCTTCCTCTGCCGGGGACCCGAGTCGGTGTCGCGGACACGACGCGTCACAACCACGGGGGCCAAGCCATTGCAAGGGTGCGGTGAGAACTCGCGGTCGTCGCGCCAGCAGCGGATCGAGCGTGTCCCTTAAATTAGCCCGCTCTTAATTAGCCCGCGCCGTGAACTGGGCATGGGGTGCCCAATTTGCGACCGCGTCCACAGCGCAGCGCGAACGCGTTGCCCCCGGCTCCCGAGTCTCAGTCCTCCTCCCCCTTCTGACATCATCCGCCCCCCAGCCTCCCCGCCTCCTCCTCCCCCGCTCCTCCTCTCGCCTCGACTCTCTCTCCACGCCTCGGCTGCACGGCGATGCAAGGCTGAGCCGCCGTCGTCCCGGCTCTCCCCAAAGGTACTAACGCGGACAGCGATTTTAGGCGATCACCCCCACCACTACCCCCCCCCCGGTGCCATTGTTATTTACGCGTCTCGTATCCACTCGCTTCACCTGATGTCGCCTCGAATGATGGCGTCCTCTGTTTGCGGTGACGATGGCGATGAGGAGGTGGGAGAGGAGGAGGGAGAGGTGAACACGGGGACATCTCGCTGTGAATGAGAGGAGGGATGGTTGCGGTGCGAGGAGGATATTAGCCATTGTTGTCGGATTCATCTTCACCACCGCCACTGTCGCCGCCTCGATTGCGACTCGAGATAGTGCGCTTCATGAACGCGCATCGAGCGTGAATCACCAGCGCTATAAACTCGTACTAGAATCACCAGCGCACGCATCACCAGCGCTAGAATCACGAGCACTAGAATCAATCACCATCACTAGAATCACCATCACTAGAATCACGAGCACTAGAATCAATCACCAGCGCTAGAATCACGAGCACTAGAATCAATCACCAACGCTAGAATCACGAGCACTAGAATCAATCACCATCACTAGAATCACGAGCACTAGAATCAATCACCAACGCTAGAATCACGAGCACTAGAATCAATCACCAGCGCTAGAATCACGAGCACTAGAATCAATCACCATCACGAGAATCACCATCACTAGAATCAATCACCATCACTAGAATCACGAGCACTAGAATCAATCACCAGCGCTAGAATCACGAGCACTATAATCAATCACCATCACTAGAATCACCATCACTAGAATCAATCACCATCACTAGAATCACCATCACTAGAATCACGAGCACTAGAATCAATCACCATCACTAGAATCACGAGCACTAGAATCAATCACCATCACTAGAATCACCATCACTAGAACCAATCACCATCACTAGAATCACGAGCACTAGAATCAATCACCAGCGCTAGAATCACGAGCACTATAATCAATCACCATCACTAGAATCAATCACCATCACTAGAATCACCATCACTAGAATCACGAGCACTAGAATCAATCACCATCACTAGAATCACGAGCACTAGAATCAATCACCATCACTAGAATCACCATCACTAGAATCAATCACCATCACTAGAATCACGAGCACTAGAATCAATCACCAGCGCTAGAATCACGAGCACTAGAATCAATCACCATCACTAGAATCACCATCACTAGAATCAATCACCATCACTAGAATCACCATCACTAGAATCACGAGCACTAGAATCAATCACCATCACTAGAATCACGAGCACTAGAATCAATCACCAACGCTAGAATTACAAGCACTAGAATCAATCACCATCACTAGAATCACCATCACTAGAATCAATCACCATCACTAGAATCACGAGCACTAGAATCAATCACCAGCGCTAGAATCACGAGCAGTAGAATCAATCACCATCACTAGAATCACCATCACTAGAATCAATCACCATCACTAGAATCACCATCACTAGAATCACGAGCACTAGAATCAATCACCATCACTAGAATCACGAGCACTAGAATCAATCACCATCACTAGAATCACGAGCACTAGAATCAATCACCAACGCTAGAGTCACGAGCACTAGAATCAATCACCATCACTAGAATCACCAGCGCTAGAATCAATCACCAGCGCTAGAATCAATCACCAGCGCTAGAATCAATCACCAGCACTAGAATCAATCACCAGCACTAGAATCAATCACCAGCACTAGAATCACCATCACTAGAATCACCAGCACTAGAATCAATCACCAGCGTTAGAATCAATCACCAGCGCTAGAATCAATCACCAGCACTAGAATCAATCACCATCACTAGAATCAATCACCAGCGCTAGAATCAATCACCATCACTAGAATCAATCACCAGCACTAGAATAAATCACCAGCGCTAGAATCAATCACCATCACTAGAATCAATCACCAGCGCTAGAATCAATCACAAGCACTAGAATCAATCACCAACGCTAGAGTCACGAGCACTAGAATCAATCACCATCACTAGAATCACGAGCACTAGAATCAATCACCATCACTAGAATCACGAGCACTAGAATCAATCACCAACGCTAGAGTCACGAGCACTAGAATCAATCACCATCACTAGAATCACCAGCGCTAGAATCAATCACCAGCGCTAGAATCAATCACCAGCGCTAGAATCAATCACCAGCACTAGAATCAATCACCAGCACTAGAATCAATCACCAGCACTAGAATCACCAGCACTAGAATCACCAGCACTAGAATCAATCACCAGCGTTAGAATCAATCACCAGCGCTAGAATCAATCACCAGCACTAGAATCAATCACCATCACTAGAATCAATCACCAGCGCTAGAATCAATCACCATCACTAGAATCAATCACCAGCACTAGAATAAATCACCAGCGCTAGAATCAATCACCATCACTAGAATCAATCACCAGCGCTAGAATCAATCACGAGCACTAGAATCAATCACCAACGCTAGAGTCACGAGCACTAGAATCAATCACCATCACTAGAATCACCATCACTAGAATCAATCACCATCACTAGAATCACCATCACTAGAATCACGAGCACTATAATCAATCACCAGCGCTAGAATCAATCACCAGCGCTAGAATCAATCACCAGCGCTAGAATCAATCACCAGCACTAGAATCAATCACCAGCACTAGAATCAATCACCAGCACTAGAATCACCATCACTAGAATCACCAGCACTAGAATCAATCACCAGCGCTAGAATCAATCACCAGCACTAGAATCAATCACCATCACTAGAATCAATCACCAGCGCTAGAATCAATCACCATCACTAGAATCAATCACCAGCACTAGAATAAATCACCAGCGCTAGAATCAATCACCATCACTAGAATCAATCACCAGCGCTAGAATCAATCACGAGCACTAGAATCAATCACCAACGCTAGAATCACGAGCACTAGAATCAATCACCATCACTAGAATCACCATCACTAGAATCAATCACCATCACTAGAATCACCATCACTAGAATCACGAGCACTATAATCAATCACCAGCGCTAGAATCAATCACCAGCGCTAGAATCAATCACCAGTACTATAATCAATCACCAGCACTAGAATCAATCACCAGCACTAGAATCACCATCACTAGAATCACCAGCACTAGAATCAATCACCAGCGCTAGAATCAATCACCAGCACTAGAATCAATCACCATCACTAGAATCAATCACCAGCGCTAGAATCAATCACCATCACTAGAATCAATCACTAGTACTAGAATAAATCACCAGCACTAGAATCACCATCACTAGAATCACCAGCACTAGAATCAATCACCAGCGCTAGAATCAATCACCAGCACTAGAATCAATCACCATCACTAGAATCAATCACCAGCGCTAGAATCAATCACCATCACTAGAATCAATCACCAGCACTAGAATAAATCACCAACGCTAGAATCAATCACCAGCGCTAGAATCAATCACCAGCGCTAGAATCAATCACCATCACTAGAATCAATCACCATCACTAGAATCACGAGCACTATAATCAATCACCATTACTAGAATCACCATCACTAGAATCACCAGCACTAGAATCAATCACCAGCACTAGAATTAATCACGAGCACTAGAATCAATCACCAGCGCTAGAATCACGAGCACTAGAATCAATCACCATCACTAGAATCACCATCACTAGAATCAATCACCATCACTAGAATCACCATCACTAGAATCACGAGCACTAGAATCAATCACCAGCACTATAATCAATCACCAGCGCTAGAATCAATCACCAGCACTATAATCAATCACCAGCGCTAGAATCAATCACCAGCACTATAATCAATCACCAGCGCTAGAATCAATCACCAGCACTATAATCAATCACCAGCGCTAGAATCAATCACCAGAGCTATAAACACAAGCGCTACCGCGCCGCACTGGCCAGCGAGGCCTCCGATCCGCGCGATGATGGAGGATGTGGGGTGTGATTGTTTATTTGTTGATCTGATTGTTTATTTGTTTATTTATCTGGAGCTGGGAAATCCGCTCCACAATGACGCCCCGTGACAGACTGGGGGGAGGAGCAGGTAGAGGTGGGGGCTCAAAGCCGACCTCTATTACCGATGCAGTACTCATCGTGATGCAGTACTCATCGTGATGATGGGGGTGGGCTCTGAGATGGTTTCGAATACAGTCCCGCGCGGTATCCACCGTGTGGGCTTTTGCAAAGACATTTTTCATTCAATGGAAATTGGGCGCAGTTCACTTTTGGCGCTCACCGATCACGGCGTAAAACAACAACAGCAGCAGCAACATCCAGAGAACGTAAAACAACAACAGCAGCAGCAACAGCATCCAGAGAACGTAAAACAACAACAGCAGCAACATCCAGAGAACGTAAAACAACAACAGCAGCAACATCCAGAGAACGTAAAACAACAACAGCAGCAGCATCCAGAGAAAGTAAAACAGCAGCAGCAGCAACATCCAAAGAACGTAAAACAACAACAGCAGCAGCAACATCCAGAGAACGTCGTTAAAGGCCACTGCGGGGAGCACACGGCTGGGCTGGGATCTCGTGGAGGTTGTCACGGATAATTCGCCCCGAGGTCACCAGAGGAGTCGGAACCCGTAGATGGCTCGCGGCTCTTCGCTGCCGACACCAGCAGCAGCAGCGCCCCTTCTCAAACATTACATAGAAATCATCTCTTGTTGTGGTGATGATGATACTGCTGCATCGGCAGTGGTGTACAAGCACACACACACAACATCAAAGACGAAGCGTGTAGCCTGTGCTGTTAGCGAGCAGCACCTATGAAGGCACGGTAGACGGGGGTGGGCAACACCACGCCCGGCCGCCTTTGTCTTTCCAGTGACGATGTTTACACACCGCACCAGGTACTCATTTGAGGCTGAGTCGACCTAGGGGAGGCCCACAACAACACAGTGGTGGTACACAAGCGCGCTACAAAACGTTCCGTGTCAACAACACCACTGGGGCCTGAATCTAAACTAACTAGAGGCTGTAAACGTCGCCTCGGCTCTATGTTTTCCCTGTTAAGGCCTCGGTGTTACATGGGCTTAGACTGCTGAGGTGAAGGCATCAATACACATGGCGATCTGTAACACATAGCGATCTGTATATACTAAATATATAGACTATACACGTGGTATATTACAAGACAAATGGAAATATCAGAGCATGTTTGTGGGTTTGTTTTGCCACAAGTACGTGTGGTTAATGCAGACTTTGGTGCCTTGTAAAATTAATGTATTTGGTGTTTGAACATCTTAAAACCTGTTTCATTGTCAGAAAGGGTAACGCCTATTATTTTTTACATGGCGATCTGTATACACAATGTACATGCAGTGTGCATGACGATCTGTACACGCAATGTATATGAAGTATGCATAACGGTCTGTATACACAATGTATATCCAGTGTAAATGACGATCTGTATATACAAAGTTAATGCATACTCTTTGGTTCTTTCGGTAAAGTCACGTAGGTAGAAATAAAATAAAACAAATCACGACGTTTCGATCTTAACACAAGCAATCTTCATCAGGTGGAACAACCACAGCAAGAAAAAATGCTGAAGTAGGCGAGAGAGCTGCCGTGGCAAGAGGTTATATAGGTGTAGGGGCGTGTTGGGCTATGTGTAGCGACGTAAACGGACTGTGTACACTTAACTGTAGGGGCTGACACAGTCCAGCAGGGGCAGTCACAATATCCCTAGGCCCGGAGCATGAGGGGGCTGTGGTGTGTTCTGGGATCCCCCACGACCCCTCCCAACGGTTGGGGGGCTGCGGGGTGTCCTAGGACCGCGCCCCTTGGGTGTATAAAAGCCGGACCTCTCTACAGGCTCGGGGCCAGTCGAAGACAGAAGCAAGAAGACCCATCAGATAAGACCCTGGAACCCCCTTAGCCCCGCTGCCTTTGTCAGGGCCGGGACTCTGTGGGCCAGTGGTGAGACCCTGGGAACCCCCCCTAGCCCCGCTGCCCTTGTCAGGGCCGGGACTCTGTGGGCCAGTGGTGAGACCCTGGGAACCCCCTAGCCCCACTGCCTTTGTCAGGGCCGGGACTCTGTGGGCCAGTGGTGAGACCCTGGGACCCCCCGGCCCGACGTCCTTGTAAGGGTCGGGTCTGAGTGGGCCAATGGTTGGAACCCGCACCCTGGCTAGGTCGGGTTATATTAGCCTCCCCTAGACACCGATAGCCGGAGGACTCAGAGTAGCAGTCCCGTATTAGGCACGTTAGTCCGGAGGCAGTACCTCCCCAGGCAGTGGTGATAGAAGGGCCGTCGCCCTGAGTGTGCCGGGTTGTACTGCCGAACGTTGTGTTAAATTGTGTTGCCTCCAAGACCCGAGTCTGACGTCTCCAGAATCTACAACACTACATAGGTAAGAAAGGGGAGAGGAGCAAAGGGGGGAGAGAGAGAGGGGGGGGGGGGGAGCTGCGTATACACAAAGTTTATGCAGTGTGCATGACAATTTGTATATACAATGCATATGCAGTGTGCATGACTATCTGTATATACAATGTATATGCAATCTTGATTTGAAGCTTTCGTGACTGCAGGAATCCATACCGAAAGAACCAAAGAGTATTTATGTATATGCTGTGTGCATGACGATCTGTATATACAAACATAGTGTAATAGGCCGCCTGGTGGACAGCAGCGGCAACTGTGGTGGACAGACAGTACACACGCCGGTGGGGGTGTGCACGGTGTGTTGGCAGAGAGGAGGAACTAGAGCAAGGGTCGCGGAGGACCCCATCTGGAGGCCCCTGGAACCTGCTAGTGGGTTCGAGAAGGGAGGCGAAGTCAAGGCGGAGCCAGGCCGCGCTGGTAGCATAAAAGGAGCCGAGAGCAGGAGCTTCAGTCTGCCGGTTCTGGGAGTGGACTCGTCTCGTTGTCGCTGTTGTCTTGTCGCCATCGTCGCTAACGTCTCCGCAAGATTTTGCGCTACGAGGGATAGTAGTTGGCTATCTCAGTCAGTGATGTCAGTGTTATACGGCTAGTGTTGTGTACAGGCTAGGCTAAGCTACTGTAGAGAGTGTGTGGACGAGACCATGGAAGTTGTTAATAAAGAAGGTTCCTTCTATAAACTATAATGAACCCCGGAGAGACGCACGCTGGGAGTGACCGCGAGGGAGAAGGAAAGGCACTCGGACCCTAGGACTCATGCATCAGCTCTCATCTGTGTTCTGTCGCCTCTACACAATCCATCTGGTTACACAGCCCATCTAGTTACACAATCCATCTGGTTACATAACCCATCTGCTTACACAATCCGTCCACGACTACCAACACCAGTGACGATTATCTGAACTTGTCCTGGGCCGCCCCTAGGTTGACTCAGCCTCAAATGACTACCTAGTGCAATGTGTAAATATTGTCACGAGGGAGACAAAGGCGGCCGGGCGTAGGTGCTGGCTCCCTCATGTGCCGTGCCGGCTTTCACTGGTGCTCATTCGCTAACAGCACTTGCCCCAAAAGTCTGTTCAGGCTATGCGGGGATCTTTGTCTCTGTGTGGACCTACATATCTGCTTTATTGACCTGGTCAAGGCCTTGTTTTCTTTGGTTCTAAGTGTGTGTGTTTAAGAGAGTGTGGACGTGTTTATGGCGGAGTAAGAGTTGTGAAAACGTCCAAACCACTCTCTCCATGTTCTCCAGGCGCCAGTAAACTCTTGTATCCACAGAGGCCATTCTACTGCAGTCCGACATGGGGTCAATGATGGTCTCCCCACAGACCATGGATCCCTCTCCACTCCTCGTTCTCCTGGACCTGGTGCCCAGACCGTTAACCCCCCCCCCCCCCCCACCCTGAGCGTGTGTCTCCGTGCTCCTGTCCTCGTTCCGCTCTCCCCTCTTACACGGCTCCATCTCCGTGTCCCCACCCTGGCCTCTGCTCTCCACTCCGACATTCCCGGGCTGCGGTGTCCTGCAAGGTTCCACCCTCAGCCGCTTACTCTTCTCAATGTCTCCCGCTTCCCTAGAGAACCTCATCACTCCGTCTTTCGCAACATCTCCCAAATTCTACCATCTCCCTAGCCTCGCTGTCACTCAAACCCTTATCCCTGGTTTCATCCCGACTTGACTCCTGCGACTCTCTTCATCAGGGCATCCCCACATCCCTCACCTGCCCTCATCCCTCACCTCCCCTTATCCCTCACCTCCCCTCATCCCTCACCTCCCCTCATCCCTCACCTGCCCTTATCCCTCACCTGCCCTCATCCCTCACCTCCCCACATCCCTCACCTCCCCACATCCCTCACCTCCCCACATCCCTCACCTCCCCACATCCCTCACCTCCCCACATCCCTCACCTCCCCACATCCCTCACCTCCCCACATCCCTCACCTCCCCACATCCCTCACCTCCCCACATCCCTCACCTCCCCACATCTCTCACCTCCCCTCATCCCTCACTTTCCAAGATCTCTCACCTCCCCATATCCCTCGCCTCCCCCATCTCTCCACATCCCTCACCTCTCCACACTTCAGATTATTCGAAATGTCATTGCCATAATTATCATCCGTACCCCCAAACATGGCCATATAACCACAATACTCCAATTCCACGATTAGTTCCCAAACCAATCTCAAATCGACGTTTAGATCACACTCACTGTCTTCAAGATCCTCCAAGGATGAGTCTCTCCCTACCTCTTGCGTTCTCTCATCACACGCTATTCCCCTCCACGCACTCTCCTTCCTCTCCTCTCCCTTCTCATCGCACCCTACTCCTCTCCGACACTTTCTGCTCCACTAACCAAGGCTTTCTATGCTTCTCCGGTGGAGAAACGGCCCCTCTGGCCCAGCTTGAGAGCATTTATTTCCTGCTGCACTTTCTCCGCCTTCGCAGATGAAGTGGGAGGCAGCAACGTTCTGGAACGGTGCCGCATGAGAAAGGAACAGAACACATCGCGTGCTTTCGGATGCACTTCTGGATGCGCTTCTGTAGCCGTCTGTAACGATCTTCCTTCCGATATTAGGAAGCCACTGGAGCTATGCACTCTTAAATCTAGATTGAAAACTCATTTATTTACATCTGCTTGTTGTGTTTCGTTTGTTATCCTTCCCCCACACCTCCGATTAGCACGGTTGGCTCCGTATGGTGCGAAAGACGTTCAACATACATACACATGCACAGATAACACAAACATAACGTTCCTCCCTTGTTCCAGGAACTCCACCGCCTGGCGCGTCGCCGCCCACACCATGCGAGACGACTCGCGAGCGTTCATGGAGGGCGACGTGGAACACAGCGGCGTCTCAGTGCGGCCTGCGACCAAGGTGCCCAAGCAGTGCCGCGAGGGCCCCAAGGTGCACACGGACCGGACGCGGCTGCTCGCCGATGCCGGCAAGAAGCGGCGCCAGCGGTATGTCTCCAAGGACGGCAAGTGCAACGTGCACCACGGCAACATGCGCGAGACATACCGCTACTTCACCGACCTCTTCACCACGCTCGTTGACCTCAAGTGGCGCTTCAACCTCCTGGTCTTCACCCTGGCATACACGATCACATGGCTCTTCTTCGGATTCATTTGGTGGTTGATCGCGTACATCCGCGGGGACCTGGATCACATCGGTGACAATTCGTGGACGCCCTGCGTGGACAATCTGAATGGCTTCGTGTCTGCCTTTTTATTCTCCATCGAGACGGAGACAACCATCGGCTACGGCCACCGCGTGATCACCGACCGCTGTCCCGAGGGGATCATCCTGCTGCTGGTGCAGGCCATCCTGGGCTCCATAGTCAATGCCTTCATGGTGGGCTGCATGTTCGTCAAAATATCGCAGCCCAAGAAGCGCGCCGAGACACTGATGTTCTCCAACAATGCGGTCATCTCCCTGAGGGACGGGAAGCTCTGCCTCATGTTCCGCGTGGGCGACCTGAGGAATTCACACATCGTGGAGGCGTCCATTCGAGCCAAGCTGATGAAGTCCAAGCAGACCAAGGAGGGGGAGTTCATCCCCCTCAACCAGACGGACATCAACGTGGGCTTCGACACGGGGGATGACCGCCTCTTCCTCGTCTCGCCGCTCATCATCTGCCATGAAATTAACGAGCAGAGCCCCTTCTGGGAGATGTCGCGTGACCAGCTGAAGAAGGAAGAGTTCGAGATCGTCGTGATCCTGGAGGGCATGGTGGAGGCCACCGGTGAGTGTCCCCACCCCCCCCCCCTCTCGGTGCGGGAACCGGGGGCACCTAACCGGGGGTCCAGCACCCCCACTCCCTCATTCCCCCTCTTTCTGTTAGAGGTCTCTCCGCAGCATGGAAGCGGCACGCGTCTTAACAGTAGCCACAAGTACCATGCGGGGTGCCGTCTCGAGCAACTCGAGCAGTCCGAGGTCGCTGGCACACCGTGTGCTGCGGTAGATTCCTCCTTTTGTGTTTCCTGTCTGTCTCACTCTTGTGATGTCTCACTTGTACTGTCTCTCTTGTACTGTCTCTCTTGTGATGTCTCTCTTGTACTGTCTCTCTTGTACTGTCTCTCTTGTGATGTCTCTCTCATGATGTCTCTCTTGTACTGTCTCTCTTGTACGGTCTCTCTTGTGATGTCTCTCTTGTACTGTCTCTCTTGTGATGTCTCTCTCATGATGTCTCTCTTGTACTGTCTCTCTTGTACTGTCTCTCTCGTGATGTCTCTCTTGTACTGTCTCTCTCGTGATGTCTCTCTTGTACTGTCTCTCTTGTGATGTCTCTCTTGTACTGTCTCTCTTGTGATGTCTCTCTTGTGATGTCTCTCTTGTACTGTCTCTCTTGTGATTTCTCTCTTGTGATGTCTCTCTTGTACTGTCTCTCTTGTGATGTCTCTCTTGTACTGTCTCTCTTGTGATGTCTCTCTTGTACTGTCTCTTTCGTGATGTCTCTCTCGTGATGTCTCTCTTGTACTGTCTCTCTTGTGATGTCTCTCTTGTACTGTCTCTCTTGTACTGTCTCTCTATGACTCTCTCTCTCTCTTGTGATGTCTCTCTCGTGATGTCTCTCTCGTGATGTCTCTCTTGTGATGTCTCTCTTGTGATGTCTCTCTTGTGATGCCTCTCTTGTACTGTCTGTCTTGTACTGTCTCTCTTGTACTGTCTCTCTTCTTCTGTCTCTCCTACTGTCTCTCTTGTACTGTTTCTCTTGTAATGTCTCTCTTGTACTGTCTCTCTTGTGATGTCTCTCTTGTACTGTCTCTCTTGTACTGTCTCTCTTGTGATTTCACTCTTGTACTGTCTTTCTTGTGATGTCTCTATCGTGATGTCTCTCATGTACTGTCTCTTGTGATGTCTCTCTTGTACTGTCTTTATTGGTCTGTCTCTCTTGTACTGTCTCTCTTGTGATGTCTCTCTTGTACTGTGTCTCTTGTGATGTCTCTCTCGTCAGGTCTCTCTTGTACTGTCCCTCTTGTACTGTCTCTCTTGTACTGTCTCTCGTGAGGTCTCTATTGTGATGTCTCTCTCGTGATGTCTCTCTCGTGATGTCTCTCTTGTACTGTCTCTCTTGTGATGTCTCTCTTGTACTGTATCTCTTGTACTGTCTCTCTTTTACTGTCTCTCTTCTACTGTCTCTCCTACTGTCTCTCTTGTGATGTCTCTCTTGTACTGTCTCTCGTGTGATGTCTCTCTTGTGATGTCTCTTGTACTGTCTCTCTTGTACTGTCTCTCTCGTGATGTCTCTCTCGTGATGTCTCTCTCGTGATGTCTCTCTTGTACTGTCTCGCTTGTACTGTCTCTTGTACCGTCTCTCTTGTGATGTCTCTCTTGTGATGTCTCTCTCGTGATGTCTCTCTTGTACTGTCTCTCTTGACTGTCTCTCTTGTACTGTCTCTCTTGTGATGTCTCTCTTGTGATGTCTCTCTTGTGTTGTCTCTCTCGTACTGTCTCTCTTATGATGTCTCTCTTGTGTTGTCTCTCCCGTACTGTGTCTCTCGTACTGTCTCTCTCGTGATGTCCTCTCTTGTTATGTCTCTCTTGTAATGTCTCTCTTGTCATGTCTCTTGTACTGTCTCTCTTGTGATGCCCCTCTTGTACTGTCTCTCTTGTGATGTCTCTTGTGATGTCTCTCTTGTACTGTCTCTCTTGTACTGTCTCTCTTGTACTGTCTCTCTTGTACTGTCTCTCTTGTGATGTCTCTCTTGTACTGTCTCTCTTGTGATGTCTCTCTTGTGATGTCTCTCTTGCACTGTCTCTCTTGTACTGTCTCTCTTGTACTGTCTCTCTTGTGATGTCTCTCTTGTACTATCTCTCTTGTGATGTCTCTGTTGTACTGTCTCTCTTGTACTGTCTCTCTTGTGATATCTCTCTTGTGATGTCTCTCTTGTGATGTCCTCTCTTGTACTGTCTCTCTTGTGATGCCTCTCTTGTACTGTCTCTCTTGTACTGTCTCTCTTGTACTGTCTCTCTTCTTACTGTCTCTCCTACTGTCTCTCTTGTGATGGTCTCTCTTGTACTGTCTCTCTTGTGATGGCTCTCTTGTACTGTCTCTCTTGTACTGTCTCTCTTGTGATTTCACTCTTGTACTGTCTCTCTTGTGATGTCTCTATCGTGATGTCTCTCATGTACTGTCTCTTGTGATGTCTCTCTTGTACTGTCTTTATTGGTCTGTCTCTCTTGTACTGTCTCTCTTGTGATGTCTCTCTTGTACTGTGTCTCTTGTGATGTCTCTCTCGTCAGGTCTCTCTTGTACTGTCTCTCTTGTACTGTCTCTCTTGTACTGTCTCTCGTGAGGTCTCTATTGTGATGTCTCTCTCGTGATGTCTCTCTCGTGATGTCTCTCTTGTACTGTCTCTCTTGTGATGTCTCTCTTGTACTGTCTCTCTTGTACTGTCTCTCTTGTACTGTCTCTCTTCTACTGTCTCTCCTACTGTCTCTCTTGTGATGTCTCTCTTGTGATGTCTCTCTTGTACTGTCTCTCGTGTGATGTCTCTCTTGTACTGTCTCTCTTGTACTGTCTCTCTCGTGATGTCTCTCTCGTGATGTCTCTCTCGTGATGTCTCCCTGGTACTGTCTCGCTTGTACTGTCTCTTGTACTGTCTCTCTTGTGATGTCTCTCTTGTGATGTCTCTCTTGTACTGTCTCTCTCGTGATGTCTCTCTCGTGATGTCTCTCTTGTACTGTCTCTCTTGACTGTCTCTCTTGTACTGTCTCTCTTGTGATGTCTCTCTTGTACTGTCTCTCTTGACTGTCTCTCTTGTACTGTCTCTCGTGAGGTCTCTATTGTGATGTCTCTCTCGTGATGTCTCTCTCGTGATGTCTCTCTTGTACTGTCTCTCTTGTGATGTCTCTCTTGTACTGTATCTCTTGTACTGTCTCTCTTTTACTGTCTCTCTTCTACTGTCTCTCCTACTGTCTCTCTTGTGATGTCTCTCTTGTACTGTCTCTCGTGTGATGTCTCTCTTGTGATGTCTCTTGTACTGTCTCTCTTGTACTGTCTCTCTCGTGATGTCTCTCTCGTGATGTCTCTCTCGTGATGTCTCTCTTGTACTGTCTCGCTTGTACTGTCTCTTGTACCGTCTCTCTTGTGATGTCTCTCTTGTGATGTCTCTCTCGTGATGTCTCTCTTGTACTGTCTCTCTTGACTGTCTCTCTTGTACTGTCTCTCTTGTGATATCTCTCTTGTGATGTCTCTCTTGTGTTGTCTCTCTCGTACTGTCTCTCTTGTGATGTCTCTCTTGTGTTGTCTCTCCCGTACTGTGTCTCTCGTACTGTCTCTCTCGTGATGTCTCTCTTGTTATGTCTCTCTTGTAATGTCTCTCTTGTCATGTCTCTTGTACTGTCTCTCTTGTGATGCCCCTCTTGTACTGTCTCTCTTGTGATGTCTCTTGTGATGTCTCTCTTGTACTGTCTCTCTTGTACTGTCTCTCTTGTACTGTCTGTCTTGTACTGTCTCTCTTGTGATGTCTCTCTTGTACTGTCTCTCTTGTGATGTCTCTCTTGTGATGTCTCTCTTGCACTGTCTCTCTTGTACTGTCTCTCTTGTACTGTCTCTCTTGTGATGTCTCTCTTGTACTATCTCTCTTGTGATGTCTCTGTTGTACTGTCTCTCTTGTACTGTCTCTCTTGTGATATCTCTCTTGTGATGTCTCTCTTGTGATGTCTCTCTTGTACTGTCTCTCTTGTGATGCCTCTCTTGTACTGTCTCTCTTGTACTGTCTCTCTTGTACTGTCTCTCTTCTACTGTCTCTCCTACTGTCTCTCTTGTGATGTCTCTCTTGTACTGTCTCTCTTGTGATGGCTCTCTTGTACTGTCTCTCTTGTACTGTCTCTCTTGTGATTTCACTCTTGTACTGTCTCTCTTGTGATGTCTCTATCGTGATGTCTCTCATGTACTGTCTCTTGTGATGTCTCTCTTGTACTGTCTTTATTGGTCTGTCTCTCTTGTACTGTCTCTCTTGTGATGTCTCTCTTGTACTGTGTCTCTTGTGATGTCTCTCTCGTCAGGTCTCTCTTGTACTGTCTCTCTTGTACTGTCTCTCTTGTACTGTCTCTCGTGAGGTCTCTATTGTGATGTCTCTCTCGTGATGTCTCTCTCGTGATGTCTCTCTTGTACTGTCTCTCTTGTGATGTCTCTCTTGTACTGTCTCTCTTGTACTGTCTCTCTTGTACTGTCTCTCTTCTACTGTCTCTCCTACTGTCTCTCTTGTGATGTCTCTCTTGTGATGTCTCTCTTGTACTGTCTCTCGTGTGATGTCTCTCTTGTACTGTCTCTCTTGTACTGTCTCTCTCGTGATGTCTCTCTCGTGATGTCTCTCTCGTGATGTCTCCCTGGTACTGTCTCGCTTGTACTGTCTCTTGTACTGTCTCTCTTGTGATGTCTCTCTTGTGATGTCTCTCTTGTACTGTCTCTCTCGTGATGTCTCTCTCGTGATGTCTCTCTTGTACTGTCTCTCTTGACTGTCTCTCTTGTACTGTCTCTCTTGTGATGTCTCTCTTGTGATGTCTCTCTTGTGTTGTCTCTCTCGTACTGTCTCTCTTGTGATGTCTCTCTTGTGTTGTCTCTCCCGTACTGTCTCTCTCGTACTGTCTCTCTTGTGATGTCTCTCTTTTACTGTCTCTCTCGTGATGTCTCTCTTGTTATGTCTCTCTTGTAATGTCTCTCTTGTACTGTCTCTTGTACTGTCTCTCTTGTGATGTCTCTCTTGTGATGTCTCTCTTGCACTGTCTCTCTTGTGATGTCTCTCTTGTACTGTCTCCCTTGTACTGTCTCTCTTGTACTGTCTCTCTTGTACTGTCGCTTCTGTACTGTCTCTCTTGTGATGTCTCTCTTGTGATGTCTCTCTTGTGATGTCTCTCTTGTGATGTCTCTCTTGTGATGTCTCTCTTGTACTGTCTCGCTTGTGATGTCTCTCTTGTACTGTCTCTCTTGTGATGTCTCTCTTGTGATGTCTCTCTTGTGATGTCTCTCTTGTACTGTCACTCTTGTGATGTCTCTCTTGTACTGTCTCTCTTGTGATGTCTCTCTTGTGATGTCTCTCTTCTACTGTCTCTCTTGTACTGTCTCTCTTGTGATGTCTCTCTTGTACTGTCTCTCTTGTGATGTCTCTCTTGTACTGTCTCTCTTGTGATGTCTCTCTTGTACTGTCTCTCTTGTACTGTCTCTCTTGTACTGTCTCTCTTGTGATGTCTCTCTTGTACTGTCTCTCTTTTGATGTCTCTCTTGTACTGTCTCTCTTGTACTGTCTCTCTTGTACTGTCTCTCTTGTACTGTCGCTCCTGTACTGTCTCTCTTGTACTGTCTCTCTTGTGATGTCTCTCTTGTACTGTCTCTTGTGATGTCTCTCTTGTACTGTCTCTCTTGTACTGTCTCTCTTGTGTTGTCTCTCTTGTACTGTCTCTCTTGTACTGTCTCTCTTGTGATGTCTCTCTTGTGATGTCTCTCTCGTGATGTCTCTCTTGTGATGTCTCTCTTGTGATGTCTCTCTTGTACTGTCTATCTTGTGATGTCTCTCTTGTACTGCCTCTCTTGTACTGTCTCTATTGTGATGTCTCTCTTGTGATGTCTCTCTTATGATGTCTCTCTTGTACTGTCTCTCTTGTACTGTCTCTCTTGTACTGTCTCTCTTGTGATGTCTCTCTCGTGATGTCTCTCTTGTACTGTCTCTCTTGTGATGTCTCTCTTGTACTGTCTCTCTTGTCCTGTCTCTCTTGTACTGTCTCTCTTGTACTGTCTCTTGTGATGTCTCTCTTGTACTGTCTCTCTTGTGATGTCTCTCTTGTACTGTCTCTCTTGTGATGTCTCTCTTGTACTGTCTCTCTTGTACTGTCTCTCTCGTGATGTCTCTCTCGTGATGTCTCGCTTGTACAGTCTCTCTTGTACTGTGTCTCTTGTGATGTCTCTCTCGTGATGTCTCTCTCGTGATGTCTCTCTTGTGATGTCTCTCTTGTACTGTCTCTCTCGTGATGTCTCTCTTGTACTGTCTCTCTTGTGTTGTCTCTCTTGTACTGTCTCTCTTGTGCTGTCTCTCTTGTGCTGTCTCTCTTGTGATTTCTCTCTTGTACTGTCTCTCTTGTCCTGTCTCTCTTGTACTGTCTCTCTTGTGATGTCTCTCTCGTGATGTCTCTCTCGTGATGTCTCTCTTGTACTGTCTCTCTAGTGCTGTCTCTCTTGTACTGTCTCTCTCGTGATGTCTCTCTTGTGATGTCTCTCTTGTACTGTCTCTCTTGTGATGTCTCTCTTGTACTGTCTCTCTTGTACTGTCTCTCTCGTGATGTCTCTCTTGTACTGTCTCTCTTGTACTGTATCTTGTGATGTCTCTCTCGTGATGTTTCTCTTGTACTGTCTCTCTTGTACTGTCTCTTGTGATGTCTCTCTTGTACTGTCTCTCTTGTAGTGTCTCTCTTGTGATGTCTCTCTCGTACTGTCTCTCTTGTACTGTCTCTTTTGTACTATCTCTTGTGATGTCTCTCTTGTGATGTCTCTCTTGTACTGTCTCCCCTGTACTGTCTCTCTTGTACTGTCTCTCCTGTACTGTCTCTCTTGTACTGTCTCTCTTGTACTGTCTCTCTCGTGATGTCTCTCTCGTGATGTCTTTATTGTACTGTCTCTCTTGTACTGTCTCACTTGTGATGACTCTCTTGTGATGTCTCTTGTGATGTCTCTCGTACTGCCTCTCTTGTGATGTCTCTCTTGTACTGTCTCTCTTGTTCTGTCTCTCTTGTGATGTCTCTCTTGTGATGTCTCTCTTGTACTGTCTGTCTTGTGATGTCTCTCTTGTACTGTCTCTCTCGTGATGTCTCTCTTGTGATGTCTCTCTTGTACTGTCTCTCTTGTGATGTCTCTCTTGTACTGTCTCTCTTGTACTGTCTCTCTTGTACTGTCTCTCTCGTGATGTCTCTCTTGTACTGTCTCTCTTGTACTGTCTCTCTTGTGATGTCTCTCTCGTGTGTTGCAGCTGTTCTACACGCAGTGCACATCAGTGTTGTGTTTATAATGCAGGTAAACATTCGCACTGTCATGTTGCGTTAATGCCTCACTTGTACCGCCTGTCCTACGTGTACTGCTGAGACTGTCTGGCCTGTTTTCTTCTCCACATCCATTTCTTATGTTCCCCATTCATGATAAGAGTCGAGTCCAACCCGTGGGATGGCTGCGACCCCAGATATAGAGACCCTCATCCCCTCTGGTGCCGCCCTCCCCTCACTACCTTGAGCAATGAACCAATCTCCACCTCATCTCTGCCCCCTACGAGTTCATTCCCCTCACCCATCACGCGGCTGACGAGCATTGTAACCTCGTTGGGGGTACTTTCCTCTCAACCCTAATCGGATTCTTCATCATCTGGCTTGCTGCTATGGGAGCAACTCCCTGAGCGGTCTCTTCACTTGCACTTTGAGGGCCCAAGTGTGATACTTTGTGTGAAATGGTGCCGTATAAAAATCGCCTGAAACTGTGTTCCCGGTTCCCCAAGACACTTAGAAAGCCACTCTTCCATGACTACGATCACCCTCTATGACAGACGTCGCCACTATTCAGGAGTACGCAGTGGCGCAGTAACTACATTATCAGCTCAGGGGGTGCGCCAATCGGTAGAGATGGGGCCCCCATGTTTGAATTGTCTCGTACAGTCGCCAAACTTTACCGCTCTAATTGAATTAAAATAAAGCTTGGAACGTAAATGGAATAATTTTAATGAAAAAAATAATTAAAACTGCGTCTTAAATAAGTGTTGTTGTTATTTTCCACTTTTGTTGAATACAAATCTCATGGTGGTTGTCAAGGGGGGCCCAACTCATAGCTTTGGCCACACGGGGGGGAGGGGGGGGGCAAGACACTCCCTGCCTGCCCCACGCTCGTTACGCTACTTGCAGTACCGGGTCCCAGCCTGTCCTTGCCACATGTCCACCGATGCCCCGCGACGTCCCAGCAGTCAGCTGCTGCTCGAGTGAGCACTGAGGCAGTAGCGCTTGTCTCTCGTTTACATCCCCGCAGAGCCAGTGGTGGAAATTATGCATCTTACGTCGGGGCCGAGTCTGTCCATAGACCAGCCTGTCCATAGGCCAGCGTTCTTCACTCATTTTCAAAGGGGGGGGGGGGCGCACTTTCGCCCATAAACCATCATCAGTGCGAGGGCCGCCACACATTTGAACCAGTTGGGGTTTGAGAGCAGCACGATGATAATGGGGGATGTTGTCACCATTTGTGTATTGTCGGGGGCCGCACGTCCGGGGCTGCACTAAAGGCCACCAGAGGACCGCTGACGTTGCAATGAAGAACACTGCCGTAGCACGACCAATGTTGACTTCTCTACTATCAACCCTGCGGTGGGGGGGGGGGGGGGATGTGGCCGAGTCGACCCCCACCACAACCGAGATTTAAAACCACACTTCTCCCCGCTCCAGGCATGACGTGCCAGGCTCGCAGCTCCTACCTGGAGGCCGAGGTGCTGTGGGGCCACCGCTTCCTGCCCGTGCTCACGCTGGAGGAGGGCTTCTATCAGGTGGACTACGATACCTTCCACGACACCTACGAGTGCAGCACCCCAGCGTGTAGCGCACGCGACTTCGCCGAGACGGCGAGCCGCAGCGAGGCGGAGCGGCGGGCGCCGTCCATCTCCAGCCGCCAGCTCGCGCAGGGCCCCGACGGCGAGGCCCATGAGAGCGGCGCGCCCGGGGGGAGCGAGCAGAGCGAGCAGAACGGGGACGTGGCCAAGATGGGCAGTGAGCTGAGCATGTAAAGTGCTGGGTGTCGCGGTGGCAGCGGCGGCGTTGAGGGGGTTTGCGCGTTTGTTGAAGGCGGCGGCCGTAAGGGGGGGGGGGGAGGCGGGTGGAGAGAGAGGGACATGAGCGTTTGAGTGATTAGCCCGAGCCGTTTTGCCACGCGACATTCCAATCTGGGGACGGTGTTTCGCGGATGTGTGAGCTACGATCGTTGTTACCGGTGTACCCCGTACGGAGGAAATTTACATGACTTGTCTCGACCACCCTTGCCTTAACTGAAGAATCTCTCTCTTGTAGTGTCCGCCTTCGGTGAAATCGACTTCTACGCACTCCGTCTAAACACATATAAAGGGTGTTTGCTCGTTATATTTAATAAAGAAACACGACACGTTCCTCTCGGTATTTAAATTAACTTAGAACTTGACCTGTTTACTGCATCGCCATGGTAACTGCATTACCACGGTAACTGCATCGTACTGCAGCGAACCCCGCTCGGTGGGCGGCTGCTGTCTTACGCGGCGAGCCACGGGACCCTGGCATGGCTCCACGGAACGGCTCAGCGCAAGCGTAGCGCAGCCACGTGGCGAGACAACCACGCGGCCTCACGAAGGTTCGACCACCACACCCAGCCGTGCTGGGTCAGCAGTGGGGGCTCCACGGTGACGCGATGACTCGGTCTCTACGTGGCAGAGACACGGTTTGAAAAAATAGTTTTGAGTGGCAGAGCACTCGTAGTACGAGAGGGCATTCCCATTAAGCAGGGCAGCCGCCGCTCTCTAAAACATCCGGCCGACACTGGCCCAGGGCCCATGCTAGTAGCCGTGATTCGGTATTCTGCATGAAGCCCTTTTGCCGTTTACTTCAGCCATGGTGGTAGGAGGGTGGCAGGGAGCGTTATCCAGCCGAGACGCCACTTTCTTTCTCAAGAGTTCGTGGCATTTTCAACAAATGTCCAGCTCCAAGTCCCAACACGAAAGCACTGCGATGGCCTGCAGATTTTCCGGCAAGCCAACTGACTTTATTACTACCCAGTAAAGCCTCAATGAGTCTCAAGGTTCTCTCTCAGGAGGATCCTGCTAAATTTTCTCAGGACAGGGCAACCTTGCCATGTGTTTCCCAAGTAAGTTTATTTGTGAGTTTTTTCTCTTTTGAAATCCACCCGCAGTATTAAACAGGGAGGCCTGCTGGAGTCAAACCGCAGGGCTCCTCAACAAGCGGCGCCACGAACGCACGACCGATGGGCCGTCGCCACAAGTTGCACACCGCACTCGAGGGCTGAGGCTTGAGGTGACTCAAGAGCCTGGGTGTCTCTGTTCAATGTACGTATGCATACATTGGCGTCACGGTGGCGAGATGTTAACTACCCCCCCCCCCCCGCCTGTATATTGGGAGTTTGCATGTTCTCCCTGTGGTCATGTGAATTTTTATCTGGGTCTTTGGGTTTTTCCCTCCACATTTATAAACATGCGAGAAGAGTATGTAGTTGCAAAAAAATTCCACATGATAAGCCACTTACCATGAGCTATCATTTGTGGCCAGGTCTCTTCTGAAAAAGCTGTATCGTTTAGTTTAGTATGTTGAACTTCTTTCGCACCGTACGTAGCCAGCTGCGCTAATCGGAGATGCGGGGGAAGGACAACAAACTAAACACAACAAGTAGTTATAAAGAAACGAGTTTTCAATCTTGATGATTTAAAAGTGCATAGCGCCAGTGGTTTCCTAATATCGAAAGGAAGAGCGTTCCATGCAGCCGCAAAAGTGCATCTCAAAGCCAGCGATGCAGTGACCATCTTTGTTCGATGGCTAGCCAAAAGCCGCTGCTGTGAGGATGACCAGAGTTCGCCCAGGCTCCCACCCTCTGGCTCATAGCGATCGATCCAAGTTTCACTGGCACTGTCTATGAACGACGCAATGCATTAATTGCCTTCCTAAAGGATTTCCATGAATAAGGAACCACAAATCCTTTTGAGACCCAATGGGAACGCTTCATAAATTCAAATGGTCATGGGTTAACGAAAAAGCCGTTACTTTATTTGTCCCTATAACCACTGACGCTCTTGATTTCTGCTCATCTGCCATTCAAATTTACCCTCAATACGAGCGATGTTGATGCACCAGCTGACTTACAATGTCTGGCGTAATCAGAAACTCGCTCACATCCAGCAGTTTATCAACGATTCCAGAATTCATGCATTTGTTACCACATTGCAAATCCATTCTGTGGCAAATTGAACACTGTTTTTATGCCTTCAGAGGACACAAAAAAAACAAGAGATCAGCCTCTCCCAATGTGCAGTTGTGCAAGGGCACTGTCGTTAGGGCTAACCAATGAATCAGATTCGGAATAAATTCTGGATTTAAAAAATCTAGATTTATAAGGAGAATGTCGGATCTTTTTCAGATGTTACGATCATTTATGTAACACTGTTCATGTAAGTGCGGGCTAACAACAGTGGCACGAGATCACGAGGTGCTAATAAGCAATGCCATATTAGCACCTATTAGCACCTCTGATGAGCACAGTTGGCTACGTATGGTGTGAAAGAAGTTCAATATGCCGGTAACGTCACGTCACCATTCTTTTCCGCAACTCGTCGTGACTTTCCGACTCTTGGGATTGATAAGGAATCGGGAGCATGTCCCTCTCCCTGATAGGGAGCACATCTTTGCTTCTCAGATGCGCTTCCAATTACCCCTCTACCACCATTCATGCCATCCCCGCTGAGTTCATCATTAAGAATGAATAGTTTTAGGACATTTGTTGCCCTAGAATTTCTTTGACACATGTTCTAGTAACTGCACAATCGCCAAAACTTAGACATAAATTCATGTTGTTCAGAAATGATATTCATTACCAAACGCAAATGTCTTTGTGAACGCTTCAGCCCGAATGCGATTGCACATTATGCACGATATCTCGAGAGTAATATCTCCTGTTCAGTTTTCTCAAAAAAATTCTGCAGCCAATACAAAATGTAAGACGTCCCCAGGGCACCTGTGGAGGGCGGGAAGCGTTGGTCGTGATGACATGCGCCAGTGGCATCCCCATGGCCCGTGAACGCGTCGCGAACACTTGGCAATCGTTCAACACAATCATAATAATTCCATTTATAGAGCGGCTTTTCATCAAGGATCTCAAAGCGCCATCCAGGACACAGCAGCAGCAGACATGCAGCATCAAAACAATTATATTATAATCTATTTACTAATTCAACTAAAAGTTTAATAAGTGTAAGCGTATAAATAGGTTTTAAGATGCATTTTTAAAATGTCCGCAAACTGAGAGATCCTGATATCTTGTGGAGCAGCGTTCCATAGCCTGAGGGCTACACGGGAAAATATCGGTCACCCTTAGACCAAAGCCTCGACCCTGGGAATGCAGAGAAGATCTACACCCCCAGTTCTTAGGGACGTTGAGGGAACATGGGTGCAGTATGTCAGTGATGTAGGCTGGAGCAAGATGATGGTTCACTGCTTTGTAAGTGAACAATATAATTTTAAACTGTATTTTATGTCAAACTGGAAGCCAGTGCAGGGAGGCCAACACAGGCGTAATATGTGAAGGTGTTCTGGTTAACACGCTAGCAGCCGCATTATGAACATGCGGCAATAGTCACCTCCTTGTCCACGAACTTGAGATAGGGCGGGGGCGGGGGGGTCAGCGTTCTGTCACGGCCTGAGTAGAAGGGGACAATCGCCACTGTGCAGCCACCTGCAAGCAGTTGGCTCTGGGAGATGGCGGTGCCGTTTTTTTTAAACGTTGCCCACGTGGGGCGTCCGTCACGGGGCCCCAGCCACCGAACGTTTTTTTGGGTATCAGAAATCGCGGCCGTGCAATGGACGGGGCCGTGCGGTCCTCCTACTGCACATCGTTAGCTCAATATTTGGACCTTATGGCCGGACCCTGGGGTCCCGAATAAACGGAAGTCAAAATCGTAGTTAATTAATTTATTTTTGGCGACTCCGTCCCACCGCGCACATAAATGCCACGACCCACCAGATATCAATCCTCTCGTTATTCACCAAGCGCCTGTCGTTTCCAAAATTGCCGTAGTCATAAACAAAACTTGTAAACTTTGATTAGCACATCGTTTAGAGTTCGTCGAGAGGAATAGATTGCCATGTCGCTCGCCTTCAACAGACATAAAATTACATCACAACGCAGTTTATGCGAGAGTTGGGGGCTTATGGGACCCCGGGGTCCCGTCATAAGGTTAATTTGTATCTGTTGAATAAAATGGACGCCGGTTCAAAGAATCGGAGACGTTGCTGTCGTGGGTATCCCCGCGTGAATTCATATTGAAACTTTCACACAACTCTTGGTAATCTCCAGTGAATGCTTCATAGCTGTGGAACATCTGATACGACGAGTGTTGCTTTTTAACATTAATCAGGAATTGATCTTTGTGGAAACTGAAGAGACAATATGCCAATATTTTAAATGCAGTTTGCCCGCATGGACATACGAAGAACTCACGACCGGATAAGCTGCGTATAACTCATGAAGTCACCAAAACTCTACAATTGCATTCTATGCTTGTGGAAAAAACACTTTATTTTGGAGTAAAATACTTGTAATTTGCATGGATTATAACTGTAATATAAATTTGATACATGTGCCACAATTGCCCTGTGTTAGGGAACTTTGTTGAGGTTTTATACTCGCGAGTGAATACTGTAGGGATCTATATGCGTGCAATAATACATCAGGTCCCCAACCACACACCCATGTCACCAGGTCACGACACGGGAAATGTAGAGTCGCACTTTAACCATCGGTAATGTTGTTAAACTTCGTTGGTTTTTACCACGTTTGGATTTGCAATCGGTGTTTATCGTGTTTTCCGCCACTCGTCCTGAACGTTTTATCACACACTTAGAGGCTAGAATCTGCCCTGCAGGCGGGCCGAATGGCCCCCGGTGCAACAGAGCCACTGGGCATGAGTGCGTGAAGCCATATACAGTGGTTGCTGTGTTCCTGTGTTCTACCAGAACCAGACTTTGCTGGGCGTGTAAACACATTCTGCTCTCCTGTTTAACTTTCGCCCAACACACTACATCGCATCCATCAACCACGTGTGTCGACACATGCAAAATTTTATTTTTTACAACAAAGATGGAAAAATATGTATATAACTTGTCTTTGAAAATTCTTGATAAAAAATTACGGTAGCATTTTGAAACGGGAAGTAGACAAAGGTGAATTGACACCAGACCTGGATCCAAAAAGTACGATGTTGGATTCCCAAGCCACGTGTGAAGAACGGCAGCCTCACTTGGTCAGGAGGGGTTTTAAACATCTCAAGCGACTGCATGTTTATGGGAACGGGATGTGCACGGTAATTACCGTTGTTAGAAATCACCAGCACTCAAATGCCTCGAGAGATTTACCC